GCCTGGAGGCTGTGAGGGTCTGGATGGGGAACAACAGGCTTCAACTGAACCCTGGCAAGATTGAGTGGCTGTGGGTTCTGGGGCCTTCTGGTGCTAGAGGTATGCCACCTTTGGTGCTGAATGGGGTTGCACTGCCCCAGACAGACCCTGTGCACAATCTGGGGGTCCTCCTGGACTCATAACTCCTGCTTCAAGAGGTGGCAGTCGTGGCTAGGAGGGCCTTTGCACAGCTTTGTGTTGTGTACCAGTTGTGCCCATTCCTAGATCAGAGGGACCTAATCACTATCACTCCTGCCCTGGTCACCTCCCATCTGGATTTATGAAATGTGCTCTCCATGGGGCTGCCCTTGAAGAGTATCCGGAAGCTTCAACTGGTGCAAAATGCAGTGGCGTGGTCAGTTATGTGTGTCCCTAGGGCGGTACACGTTGCACCTTTGCTTTGCAAGCTGCACTGGTTGCCAGCTTGCTTCCAGGTCCAATTGAAGGTGCTCGTTTGGACCTTTAAAGCCCTTCATGGCATGGGCCCGGTTACCTGAGGGGCCGCCTCTCCCCGATTACATCTGCCCGTCCCATCAGATCTGGCAGAGAAGGCATGCTGCGGATCCCGTCTGCCAGAGAATTACATTTGGTGGGTCCCAGGAGGCAGACCTTCTCTGCTGTGGCACCTGCCTTGTGGAATCTCCCCCCAGAAGTGAGATTAGCTCCATCCCTCTTAACATTTCGCAAGTCCCTCAAGGCCTGGCTATGTGATTGGGCCTGGGACTCCCAGGGGACCGGGGAGATTTTACAGTGGCTCCCTTATTAATTTTGTCCCCTCCTGTTTTGTGTGTTTTACAATTTTTTATGTGTAATTGTTTTTATGTATTTATTTTTTTAATTGTTGCACGCCGCCCAGAGTCACCTTGTGTGAAATGGGTGGCTATATAAATATGATAAATAAATAAAAATAAATACATAATACAAATGCAATAATTAAATAAATAAATGGCCCATTTGTTCCATACACGCTGCCAGAACCACCACAAGGAGAATGGAGACTGGCAGACTAAAAGGCCCAGACGAAGTACTTAGCAGTTAGAAAAGATGGCATCTTTCAAAAACACACTGCTGCATAGTTGGCTTTCCAAAGTCATGCAAATGCCTTCCTAGCAGTCTCTCTTTCTCATTCTTTTAGTAGCTATATTTCATACCATCTCAAGAAAATACCAGCAGGAGGGCCAGAGACAGACCTAGAATGGCGTAGCTTCTTCCAAAAATATGTCTTAGCTGCTGCGCTTCACGACCAAGTCTCTATGCCCGTGCAAGCACTGTCTTCTCTGCAGCACCATCAATTAGACTACATCAGACCAAAAACATAAGATAAGGCAACAAGTCCTAGGCAAACTGAAAAAGGAAACATGTGGTGACAAGAGAAGGGACAAGGAAATGAAGCAGAAAGAAAGAATGGGAAGTTGGGGGGTGGCATATGAAAGAGAGGAGATATGTATCCGCTAATGGAGAGCATGTGTACATGAACAGATGCACTGCCTATAGATGTGATAAAGAGTATCATGGGGTAGTGATTATCTCAATTAAAAATAATTATTTCTCTCTTTCCCCCTGGATTCTTAAGAGATGAAACAAGGGAGAAATAGCATGACGTGGTGATGATCTTACAAGAGCAAGGAAGGCAGTGTGAGATCAACTCTGACCTTGTTCATTGCCAGCACGGGGCTCCTAAGAGACTACCTCTGAAGCAAATCAGCCCTGAATGGAAAAAGAGTGCTTGCCTGCTCCTCCTGCAAGCAAGCTTCTGATGTAATTATTTCTGCATGCAACAGTTGCTCTCTGCAAACAAGGCATACGTTTGGCTAAAGGATGTCTTTCAAAAAGCTGTCTGTCCCTTCAAACTATTTGCCATTTGAAAGAGAGACATTCTTTCCAAATGAAGAGGTAAACAGTGTGCACGCATCAAGAATGTTTTTCACATAATTTTGTTTCCTTCAATGCTAAATGCTAATAAGTAATGAACTCTGTTAGAAGAAACCTCTCCAAGTAAGCTCTCAGCCATCCCAGGACAGGCAATGACTGGAAGAAAGCTGAAAGAGAGGGCCATTGACGCCTTCTCCCAGAGAAGAAGTAAGAGTTCCCCGATGCCTGCTCTAAAAAGAACGTAACTTAATTGTGCAGCTGAACAAAACAGATCTACAATGAAGATCCATTCTTCACCCTGAGATCTTACAAAAACATCCAGATTTCAGTTTGGGAGCCTACAAGCACTTTTTCTAGGACAGAATGGATGCTCAAGGCCTTGGCACTGCGGACCTGTGTGTTATATATTATGATACCACAACATTCTTGGTTGGGTTTGCTGTATCCTATTTCTATAACTAGCTCTCTGGCAATAACCAGTAAGTTCACAATTGTTATGACCACCAGGATGATTACAGCAAAACAAACCCAAACCAGAAACAGAAGATAATAGCAGGCATGTCTACCCCATGCTGTCCTGCTCCTAAGAGGCACTTGCCTCATTTAGTTGATACC